GGGGATCCACAGCCTGCTCCAGGTGGTCTGTCCCCAGGGAGGCCCGCGGGTTCTGAGCCACATCCCCATGCATCCCAGGACTTCTTCCTGGGAAGGCAGCAGCTGGGGATCAGGCTCTACTCTGTCTCTCGCCTCTGCTTCTAGGACGTCTGCACAAGCTCTGAGGCCGGCAAATACCAGGATCTGTGTAAACAACCTGCTGACTGATCTGGAACCCCAGCCCTCATTAGACTGAGAGAGGCTCTAAGGCAAGGACTGAGTTTATTTTGGGGTGCCCAGCACTGAGGACAGTGCCTGGTGCAGAGTAGTGATCAACAGATGTTTATTGAATGAATGGATGGATCAATCAATCAATCAACATCCTCCATGCAACCTTAGGCCCCCAGCCTCACCTCCCTCTCCTTACCAGCCCACCCATCTTCTCTATGGTTCCAGGCTCCGTCAACAGCAGTCATTTGTCCCCACGAACCATGTCCATCCCCACCTCACTCTTCCAGGCCTTTGTATCTGCTGTCTGCTGTACTCTCCTAGTCATGAAGAGTTTGGACCTTCAGCCATGCTCCCCAAATATGAGAGCACCACATCTCCCTGAGATAAGGCAGAGGACTGTCCCGCACACAAGCCATCAGGTGGCTGCTCTGCCTCCCAGGCTGGTGTTCCCCTCATTCCCACATGTGCAGCCTTCACATCACAGCTCAGAACTGGAGCTCACGATGGGATTTGCTTGGTGATTATTTGGAGAATGTGTACTGAAAATATCCACTCCATAATGTGGCTAAAACCTAAAACCTAATCTGTATTCACTGGATGGCTATGAAAGACAGCACAGACCAATCATTGATGCATCTGAGAAAATACAAAGAGCTATAAAGAGGAAAGTGCTAGCAGTGGAAGAGGCAGGCGGAGGGTGGCACAGTCGTGGGACACTCAAATCCGCATGGCAAACGCTTAGCCCTATTAGTCACCATGACCGGGTCTCTATGGAAACGCCTGGAAGATGGTCCTCAAAATAGACAGTTAGGGAGCACGCTGGGTTTCTGCAGCAGGCACAGAAAGGCCCAGCCCTGCCTCCTGCTCTTCCTACCTGGAGGATGGGAGCAGCATACCCTTTCCAGGACTGTTCATGGACTGAGACGGAGGGGTCTTGGGAGCTCCAGCTCGATGTGCAGACTCGGGGTCCAGTTGTGAGCGTAGCCCTGCTCCTGGGCCAGCCCTGCCCTCTGCCTCCTGCCTTTCCGTCAGACCCTCTGCAGCAGGAACACACTCACTCCAGGATTCAGGCCCCAGAAGCAGGGAGATTCCAGTGGTCCCCCACTGCCCGAAGTCTGGCATCAGCACCCACAGCACAGCTCCCTAAAGGTCACGCCCACCTCTGTGAGCCTGAGGAACAGGCTCTGTACTGGGCTCCTGGGGGTTTCTTCAAACCTCCACTGAGCATCTCCACTTTACAAAGAGGGAAACCCAAGTTCACAGGACTTGACCACCAGCCGAAGTCAAGACTCAGCACAAGGATGTGGCGGAGGCTGCGCCAAGACCCCAGTCGGCTCAGTGCTGACTCCATGCCAGTCCGAGCCATGCAACTGCTGTCATCATCACACAAGAAAGTTGACGGCTTTGCTCTCTGCCAAGATCCCATAAAATATTAATAACTTCTGAGAATCCACGCTGAGGGAATCGCCCCAAAACACAGAAAAGGCTCTATGCAAAAACCACTACATATAACTTTTATAATAGCAAACGTTTTGAAGCAATCTAAATGTTCAACAATAGAACAAGTATTAAATTATCTTGTATTCATTTGATAAAATATAGTTCAGCCCTTAACAATATGTGCGAGACATGTTTATAACATGGGAAATGCTTACACTTTTGTCAAGCATAAAAAGGGACACAGAAGTATAAATACAGTATGATCATCCCTATGGACAAAATTAGAATTGGAAAGTAGCAAAAAGACTTGGGAATGCACAAAAATGAATTAGAGGTTGTTTTGGGGATAGGGAAAGGCTATTTTTTATCTATGTTTTCTGATTTTCTCTCATCTTCTACCATGAGAATATATTCCTTTCATGAAGTGATCCAGTGGGAGGTTCAGATTCTGGTGGGAGGTTCAGATTCTGGGGGCAGGAACTCATATTTGAACCTGGGGCTGTTCCCTCCCACCTGTGCAGTGCTGGAGGAGACCAGCTGCGCTGAGTTCAAGTTCCTCCTCTATACGGGAGAACCTCAGCCTTCAGGGCTGTGGAGAGCTGGGAAATAACAACATAAAGACCTCATGCCTGGCCCAGCAGGTGACCTGTACTGCGAAACAGTTGTTTTGAAATTAGAGGCTGGGCCTGTTAGCTCGCACCTGAACTCCCAGCACTTTGAGAGGCCAAAGCAGAAGGATCGCTTGAGGCCAGGAGTTCAAGACCAGCCTGGGCAACATAGGGAGACTCTATCTCTACAAAAATTAACAAATACAAATAACAAATACAAAAATTAGCTGGGTGTGGCTGAAGCGGGAGGATCGCTGAGCCCAGGAGGTCAAGGATGCAGTGAGCTATGACCGCACCACTTCATTCCAGCCTGGGCGATAAGCAGGAGCCTGTCTCAAAACTATATACAAATTCAAAAAGTCAAAAATTAAAGAAGAACCTTTTTCCTTTTTGAACTGAATTAGTGAGCCTGCTCTAAGTCAGAGAAAGAATCAGTCAGGCCAGGTCAAAGCTGGGGATACTGGGTCTGCCAGGGAACGAGGGCCTGGCCTGGCATGGCGGCCTACGGGTGTGATAGAAACTCCCTCAGGCCATGGGGGCTTCTAGGGAGCTGCAGCCTCAGTTCATCGTTGGAGGGGACTCTGGAAGAATGGTGAGGGGAGCCCAGGTCATGGGGGGTGGGGTGCAGGGAACGTGGCAGCCCCAAAGCCCTGGCTGGGGGTGAGGAGTGGGTGAGTCTGAGACCTGGATTCCACTGCGCAGGACCGGAGGGGAGCTGCCTGGGCTGTGTCCTGGGATGAGGATCCTGCACTACACGTGCCCCCAGTGGGCCTGAAGACGGGCGCAGGATGCAGTCAGAGTGAGGAGCAGACAAACCTCACCCTTTTCTCATGCACTGCCACGCCGTGGCTGGCTAGCCAAGGTCTGAACTCTCCAACTGTCCCTGCTCAGATGGTAAACACTGGTAAACTCAACCCAATCACCCATCCCTCCAACCCAACTGAGAGCTCCCTCCTCCACAACACCATCCCAGCCCCTTCCCTTCAGAGCCATCTCCCAGCCTCCCAAATGCCCTCTGTCTGCAGGATCAGGCTGCTCTGGCCCCTGCAGGCTCTCCCCAGGCCTTCCCTGTGTTGGCGCTGTTGTCCTACACCAGGCACCTCCTCTCCTAGCCTGGAGTTCCTCGAGGGAATGAGCAGAGAGAAAGACAGAGAAAGAAACCAGGGAGATTTTCAATGCTCGATTTGTGAGCACTGGTTACATGGCAAGGAATTATTTGTGTTAGCTTGTTTCACTCTGCCAGCATCCCTGCAAGGTGGCTGAGTCACAGCGCTTCACAGAGAACCAGAGCTCAGAGCATAAGTGACTGCTCAGGGCACTAGGCCAACTTGGCAAAACACAGCAAACTTGAGACCAGAAGCAGGTCTGTGGGATTCGAAGCCAAGATCATTTCATGGGGTCTGCGTCTGCTTGTTCCTCCACATCCCAAGGGCCTGAACTATGAGTCACAGGGCGAGGTGCCTGTTCTCCCTCTCTTTGTATATACACAGATATATAAATGTGTGATCCCAAACAATGCTCAAAGAGAAGACTCTGCTCAGAAATGGAAAACCCCCACATGGCTGCTTTGGGAAGAGATGCCATTCAACTCCGCTGACAAGGTCCCCGCAGGCTTCCACTGTGATCTTGCTGCAGTCAGAGACCAACCCAGGTGTGCAGGTGGCCGGCATAGCCATGGTTCCCAAGCAAAGCAAAGATGCCAAGGGCCTCTTAAGTGGTGGAATGCAGTAGGAGTGGAAATGGGTACCCTGGTAGCCATGGCAAGACCCTTGCTCCACTGGGGCTCACGGATCCAGCTGTAGCACTGGGGAGGGGGCTGGAGTCACCATGACCCCTGCTACCCAGTTCAGCTCCTATGCCCTGTGACTTGCAAAGTCTCAAGAATGTGCTGGGGTCCCGTTTAAGGTTTAAGGACTTGACCCAACCCAGACCATCCCTGCATTCCCCACCCTCCTCACAGGGGACGCCTGAGTGTCCTGTGCCCCCTTAGAAGATCACCTTGGAAATCCAAGTTCCAACAACGTCCACATCACGATTCAGAGTCACATGCCCACGTGATGAATAAACATCTCAAGATCCCTAAAAAGGTTCATAGCCTTTGACCTAGGAGTAATGCCTAACTAGAAAACTTGTCTAGTCAGAAAATCGAACCGAAATTTACGTATTAACATGTTCACTGGAAACAGCCAGATATGATAATAGTGAGATAAACTGTGACACTGCAAACAGGAAAATATCATGCCCCATTTCTGGAAATGGTTCCACACTGTCGTGCTAGGCCAGGCTAGGCCCTGGCCTTGGCAGGTGCCGCCGGCAACTGAAAGCGCACGGCTGGGCTGCTCGCTGTCAGGGCTCCCACAGGGACAGGCTCACCTCCTGAAGGCAGAAATGCCTTTCAGATCTTAGCACTGTTTTTTAAAAGCCATGCATTTCCTCCAGGATAAAGGGATTAATATTCGCATTATTTGCCAGCATGCCTCTGTGCCCACGACAACCCAAACACTATCAATTACCAAACAGAAAAAGCAAGCCTGGGGAAGAAACGACCTGGTGCTGCAGAAGGAGCCTCCTTCCCTCCCGAGGTTCCTCCTGGTGGCCTCTGGCAGGACAGATTGTCCACAGGCTCACTCCAGGTGTGCCAGCAGCTGGACTACCCCTCCCTGGGGAATTTCTTTCTTTCGCCTGATAGAATATATTAAGACAAGTTGAACTTCATTTTTATTAGCCTTTTTAGGGAACCAAAATTTTAGATCCAGATGTGTTTTCTGTTCAAACCTTAATAATTTAACAAAAGTAGATCTGACTGCCAATTGGTTCACTCAACACTCATGTACAGAGCATCACATGTGGTAAGCGCCCCCACCTCCCATCCACCCTCTACACCACCTGAGCTGCCTAACAACCTGCTGAGGCGGGAATTATTATGTCCTCCAAACTAGCAAATAGACCTGCTCTGGTCTCATGATGAAGTCACTCAGCCACATCTGGCGACTGTCCTCAGATGCCCGAAGTGCTGCGTCTCAAACCACTACCCTAACAAAGGCAAGCCCACCTTTCTTTAGTTATGAGACAAAGAGGTGGCCTCCCAACTGCTAACCATCTTTCTATGCCATGCAAATGAGACCTCAAAACCACCTTCTCAAATTCTCCAAGAAGAGACAGTAAAAGACGGCAGCTCCTGGGCCAATTCCGATTTACTGAAAGCAAGAAAAACATGTAACCACCTCTTAATGCCATGGGCCACACTCCACACTGCAGGGCCTCACCCCTCTCCTTGCTGTCCCCCAGACTGAAGAGCACCTGCCTGGGCCTCTGTCTGGAGGCGGCCCCACCATGCATGGATGCCAGGAAGGGGATCCACGTGCTGCCCAGTCCCTGGGGTGGGCAAGGGGGTGTTGAGGATGAATGCCACAGATTCACGGAGAGCCCCTTGTGAGTTTTCACACCAGGGCTCGGGTATATGGCTCCTAGAACTGGGCTGATCTTCCAGGAATAACAGAAATATCGCATAAAAGACTGTAGCTTTCAAAACAGAAGTGATTATAATAAATCTTTGCTTTGCAGGTGGTAGGGATTTATGGTGTGCCAGACACATTTACAAATGTCATTTCACTTTGATTCTGAGCCTCAGAGCAATATGTGAGGTCGCCATGGGAGAGGTCCATGCCGCCCTGAGATGGGGAAATGGAGGCTCAGGGGGCATCCCTGATGCAGCACGTAGCAGGACCGAAACGTACATCCAGGTCCCCTGGCTCCACCAAAAGCCTCTACTACACCACAGAGGGGACGGAAGCACCATGAAGAAGGTCTATGCTTTCAGACAAGAGTGCAGTGAAAACCACGGCTCTTTTCTCTCACCCCGTCCCCCTATCTGTTTCCCCAGAGGCTGCAGTGAAACAAGGTCAACAACGTCAATGAAATGTCACCTCTCACCCTGCACTGAGCCCGGCTGTGGGGGCCCAGTAGGCATCTGCGCAGGCCTGGTCCCACCACTGGCCCACGATACCTATGGGGAAAGGGAGTCAGCACAGGCGGTAGGAGGGTGACAAGGAGACAGATGCGGGTCTGGAAACAATAGTGCATGGAGGCAGGGGCTGCACTGAGCACATAATAGACATCATCTCGTGTAATCCCTGGAGCAACTTATGCAGCAGGCATCATCCCATTCCATAAAGGAAGAAACTCAGGCTCCAAGAGGTTAAGTGATGCATTGAAGGTCACATAGCTAACGCATGATAGAGCTGGGATCTGAGTCCAGGGCTGCCTGATTCTGGGAGGCCATGGAACCGAACTACATTTCCAAAAGAACTCCCTGAGCCTCCCTATGAAAAAAGGGTGCTACAGATTGAATGTCTCCTCCAAAACTCATGTTGAAACTTAATCCCCAGTGTGGCAGTGTTGGGAGCTGGAGCCTTTAATTGGTGATTGGGTCATGAGGGCTCTGCCCTCATGAATGGATTAATCCTTTCAAGGATTAATGTGCTGATGGATGACTGGGTTCTCATGGGCGGGAAAATGGTAACTTTATAAGAAGAGGAAGAGGGATCTGAGCTAGCACATGAGCACGCTCAGCTCCCTTGCCATGTGATGCCCAGCACCACCTGGGCACTCTGCAGAGTCCCCAGCAGCAAGAAGGCCCTCATCAGACATAGCTCCTTGACCTGGGACTTTGCAGCCTCTATAAGAAATACATTTCTTTATAAATTACCCAGTTTCAGGTATTCTGTATAAGGAACAGAAAACGAACTAGTACAAAAAGGGGAAGAAAATTAGGGCAAGAAATGGAAGCAGCATGTAACGCGGCAGGGGGCTGAGCCCGACCCAGAGCCTTCACGCCTCCCGGCAGGCACCTCTGCCCACACAGGCATGTGCAGCTTCCAAGCTGTTCTGTGCTGAGAGGCATCCCAGGGCCAAACCAACTTCCTAGTCTTGGCTCTAATTGTCCACTGTTCTCTCTAATTTCCCCACTATTGTCAATTTTTAAAGGGTGTTCTTAGTACACCCAGGGGAGAGGCCAAAATGAACAGAAAGGACCTTTATGATCATTAAGGACTAAAGCTTTTCTTCATCTGAAATTCCCAGATTTCCCGGGCTTCTTCCAGCCGCCCCACCAGTATTCAGGCAGGACCAGTTCATCCCTGGTTGGTGGAGGCCTAGTGGCCTGTAACACAGTGCTCCCAGCTCTGTTCACTCTGGAGCCCCTGGGGCAAGTGCCAGCCTCTGAGCCTCAGTCTCCCTGTTTGTAAATGATGGAGAAAACCTCACTCATAGGACTGTGGCAAGGAGTGCATGGCAGCTCTTATGCAAAATGTGCGGGACAGGAGATGCTCAGCAGTCTGAGGTCCTTCCCTTTTCTCTGTCCTGTGCCGCTCCAATTCTAGAACCCTCCTTACCCTTAGGGCCTACCTAGAACAGTGCCAAGGGCAGTCTGTGCCCTGGGAAGGGCATCGTTTCCAGACTGTAGGGACTTCGCCCCACTCAGCCTTGTACCATTAGAACTTCTCCCCCAGGGCTCTGCTCCTGGGTGCCCCGCTGGTCATCCAACCAAACAAAGGCCCCCAAGCCATCTCAAAAACCCTTCCCTGGGGTTAGGGCTGCTGACCCTAAGACAGAAGGGAGGAGCCCACCAGCTGTCTACCTCCCCACCCCAAGTCACTCTGCACTCTGCTCTTGGGACCCTGTTCCGCCTGTGGCCCTCCCTTCGCTCACGTGCCCCATGAAAGGCCTGCATAACTGCCTGGTGGAATCTCCTTCGGTGATAGATAAAATACAGCTAGTCCCCCTGGGCCTGACCCCACCCCACAGCCAGGGGGGCCCAGGTGTCTTCTCTGGCTCAGCTGTCTGAGTCCAGCGACACAGCTGACTGTGCCCAGGTCATCAGGAGACATATAGGACATTTCCACCTAGAAAAGTGGCTGGGCTACAGGGAAGCCTCCAGAGAACCAAACAGTGAAACCCTCTGTAGGAACACCAGGCCTTTCCTTCCTGCCACTCAGGCGGGCTCAGAGAGGAGGAAGAGTCCACAGGAGGAGCCCGAGTGTAAAATGCAAACCCACAGCCGCCATGATGGTGCCCACCTGGTCCCAACAGCGTTCACCTATGAGGGGCCAGGAGGCAGCCTCTGCAGGACCAGGGGGTCTGCGGGCTGGATGAGGGGGTCTCCAGGCTGAACGGGGCTGGTGGAGTGCAAGGAGAAAGGCTTGCTTTCTCCTCATGCCACTGGAATCATTTCCGTGTGTCTCTAGCCCATGAAAGGGGTTAGTGAAGATTCTCACTTCAATAGAAATACTAAGCTCGTTTCTCAGCAAAATATTTTTGAGTTCAATTTAGAAAGGCACAGTGCAGGGTGGAAGTTCCCAGGTGCAACAAGAAGAAGCCGTCAAATAAACTGCTAAGTGTCTAGTAATGGAGTTCTCTTGGGGTTGAACACAACATTGAGTTGAGGCATTTACAAAACAAACACTTTTCCGCACAAACAGCATGAAAAGCTGTCCACGCACAGTCATGGTGAGTGGGGTGAAAACAAGGGGTTCACCACACCCTGTTCTCTTCTGCCATCCCAAGCCACTCTCAGTTCTGGAAACAGTTGCAGAGCACACACCCAGCCAGACACAGTCAACTGCCATTTCAGAAGGCAGCCCGCTCTACAGCAAGTGCAAGTCAAGACAGAGGCCGAGAGCCGCCTGCTGCACCTGTTTTGACGGGCACTGAGCCCTTCTCATGTCTGCACTATCACCTGAGTGCTGAGCTGCCCGCCCAGGTGAACAAAGATGCCCCCACGCAGAGGTGCCGGCGCAGCATGGTGAGCCCGTCTTTTTCCCCCAAGGTTTCCCGTGATGACCTTCAGCACCCACCCACATCTGGGGTGCCCGGCCACACCCCGCAAGACCTTGTTTGTGCATTTGGAGAAAAGGAGCACATCCACCCAGAATCAATGGGCAGTTGGCGGGTACTCACCCCACTGCAGAGGCGCCAGCTGCAGGTGCTCCAGGACGAGCTGGTTCAGGAGTCCTTCCACACTCGCCTCGCCGCTGCGCTTCAGGGACGGGTGAGTCTTGGTCAAGGAAAACGCAGCTCCTGCTGAGCCCAGAGACAGGAGAACATCTAGAAGTCTCCAGAGACCCTCAGATGGGAAACCTCCTACAGCAGATGTCTCCCCTCTTCTGAAGGGACTGTCTAACCAACCACTATGACATCACCCTGGGTATGTGGACATCAGGAGCATATACAACAGCAAGTGCTTCTCCTTCTCCCCCTCAAATCTAGTAAATTAAACTACTATTATGTAAGCAAGGGAAATCCACTGGGATAATTTTAATCCAATAACTATTCTTGCTGGGGAAAATAAATAGAAATGGAAGGTTATTTTTCCTTAATAAAACATGCAAACTGGTTCACTGTTCAATACAACTCATGAGTTCCTTGACGCACGTCAGTTTCATGCTGGTTTCACGTCGGTCCTGTTATCCGTCTTGATGTAATTACACATATTATTAAGAACGAGCTCACTTAAGAGAGCTCATAATCGAGGAAGCCATAAAGTCTCTCAGCAAGTATCAGTGGATGAAGTAATTAGGTCTAAAAATGTAGAAAACAGAAACCTCCCTTGCGCTAGTATTAAACAGCCAATGTGATTCACAAAACAGATCTCTAAACCTGTTTCCCTTTTCCTACATAAGTTAAAGCCACCATATTAAGTTGCAATAAAAGCGGAAATGTTTAGTTTCTGACATTCTCTAGTGATTGCAAAAGTGGAAAAAACACCCCACCTTCCTTCTTCCTTTCATAAGTTAATTCCATTGAACAAACACATCCAGTTCATCTGAAGCACGCCATGCACAGCGGGTGGGGTGGCCTTGAGGATGAAGGAAGGGCGGGCCACACACCCTGAAGTTGAGAGGTTCACATTCTGGTGAAGGCAGCAACATGAAACCTGAGACTTGCAATGGCCAACCCTGGGGACAGTCCTGTGAGAACAAAGCTCCTGCAGTTTGAGGTAGAATGGAGCAGAGGCTAAGCATTGCAAGCGAGAGGGAGCAGGACGAAACGGAGGCCCCTGGGTCTCTCCTGCTGGCTGGTGGGGGAGTCGGGCTCAGAGGTGCTGAGCAGAGTGGGCACATCCCCCTCATCAATGGTCCAATGCACTAGCCAGAGAGGGCTGTCCAGACAAGAAGGCTGCCCAAGAGAGCCAGCTGGCCACAGCACCACAGCCACCAGCAGCAGTACAGGCTAAGGTCAGCAACATGCTGGCCTGGGGGCTCAGGAACCCCTGCCCACTCCTGTGTCCTATTTTATTTTATTTATTTATTTATTCATTTTTTGAGATAGAATCTCACTCCGTCACCCAGGCTTGAGTGCTGTGGCACGATCTCGGCTCACTACAACCTCCGCCTCCCAGGCTCAAGTGATTCTCCTGCCTCAGCCTCTCGAGTAGCTGGGATTACAGGCACCCGCCACCACGCCCAGCTAATTTTTGTATATTTTTAGTAGAGATGGGGTTTTACCATGTTCACCCAGGCTGGTCTCAGACTCCTGACCTCAAGTGATCTGCCCATTTCCCAATGTGTTGGGATTACAAGCATGAGCCACAGTGCCCGGCCCTATTTTAGCTATTGTGAACTTCTTTCAATTCTCCCCAAATACTGTGTGCTCTCTCTGAATTCCAAGCCTCCCCTCCCACACTCTGTGCATTCTGCCTGGAAATGTCTTTCCCTGCCCTCTTCTCCTTCCTGACTTTATGTCTCAACCTGACCTTGCTTCTCCTACAGGAACCCTCCAGAAGGTGTGCATGCATCCACTCAACCTGCGCTAGACGCGGTCATCTTCCTGTTCTTGGCTTCAGCCTTAGCCTGTGAGCTCCATGAAGGCAGAGACCTGGTCTTAGGGCCTAGAACAGTGTTTGGTTCACTGCAGTTGCTCAAAGTATATTGCCTGATGAATAAATGAACACTAAATGAGCAAACATCCCAGGTGGGAGTGCAGGTGCCACGCCTCATTCAGCAGCACAGCCCGCAGCCCCTCCACACACAGCACAGCGCAGTGGCTATGAGACTCAGCAAACCTTCCTGCACCTGACGCCCGGGGCCTGCTGACGGCTTCTGCACATTCTCAGGCTTCACTGCTTAGGGTCTTCTTGCTCCTGGCCCCAGTCCACACATGCTGCTTGCTTCATTCCACAGCAACCCAAATGTCTAACTCATCCCATCTTCCCTCAGTAGAGAATCTGAGGGCTTGGGAGCTGTGGCTGAAGCTCTGAGGCCGGCAGAGGTGCCCCGGCCCTGAGTAAACAGCTCCTGCTCTCACTGGCTCTGCTCCCTCTTTTCTCTTCGTGGAGCTTGGTGCCCAAAAGGGCAGGTTCTGGAGACTCAGCCCAACTTTGAATCCTGGCACTGCCACTGATGAGCTTTGGTTAATTTACTTAAAGTCCCTGGCCTCACTTTCTTCATCTGTAAGATAAGCATGCTAGCAGTGCTAACTTCACAGGGCCGCCACGAGGAGTGCCCAGAATCATACTCCTGGCCTGTGGGTAGCATTAAGTAAGCGTCGCCTACCGTCAGCATCAGCCTCATCCCCATTCTTCTCCTCTCTCCTGTTCCTCCTCCGTCTCAGAGGAGTTGCAGAAACTTCTCTCCTTGCCCCAGGAATTCAGCCATCATTTCTGCTGCCTCCAACTCCCTTGGGGATCTCACTCTCCTGCAAGCAATTTATCAAAGTGTTTCCTGCACAGATAATTCCCTCCTTAGAAGAATTCTCCAAACGAAATTTTCTCCATCTCATTACACACACGGCCCATGTCTGTTGAATTGATATGGCTACTGATAAATACTCTGCAATGAACTTTTAATTATCTTCTTTTGACCTGTGACAATCCTCATTCATTCAATAGTTAACAGGTAGCTACCTGAGCTAGGGTTTGGGGTTATGGAGCTGACTGTGACCCAACAGACGGCCCTTCAGAACACGGTGACCTCCAGCAATCACACTTCTGGGTTTATACCCAAAGAACTGAAAGCAGGGACTCAGGCAGATGTTTGCAAACCCATGTTCGCTGCAGTGATATTCACAATAGCCAAAGGGTGGAAGCAGCCAAAAGTCCGCCAATAGAGGAACCAATCAACAAAATGTGATCTATCCACAGAACGGAATGTTATTCAGCCTTTAAAGAAAAGGAAATTTTGAAAACGTGCTACAACATGGATGAACCTTGAGGACATTATGCCAAGGGGAACAAGCCAGGTACAACAGGACGAACACTTATGATTCCACCGACCTGAGGCACCCACAGTGGTCAGATCCAGAGACAGAATGGAAGGTGGGCACCGGGGGCAGGGAGGCAAGGAATGGCAGGGAGCATTTCATGGGTGCCCAGTTTCAGTTTGGGAAGGTGAAAAAGTTCTGGAAGCAGATGGTGGTAATGGCTGCATGATAATTTGAAAATATTTAACACTCCTGAGCTGTACACTGAAGCATAGTTAAGATGGCAAATTTTCTTAAAATGCCGACCTAGGAGGGAGGCTATAATTAGGAAGCGGAGCGACGCTAAGGAAGCCCGGAGGAAGCCATAATCAGGGACAGAGAACTGAGAAATCTCACAGGGTAGGGCATTTGAGAAGACGGCCATGGCGGGAGCTTGGGAAGCTCTTGACAAGGACGGCCCCCCTGCGGCCCCCTCATCCTTCCTAAGCAACTTTGCAGGCAGCTTCCCCCAGTCAAGCATGCAGCCGCCCCGTGTGTTCATTCATGTTGCATCAATGGCCATTTTCTCCCTCAGCAGTCAGGCTGCATCTCTGCGAGAGGTGCCCCTTCTTGGGCAGTAGGCACAGGAAGCAACAACTGGGGATTGGGGTCCTGCCTTCTTGCATCTCCCACGATGAGGATGGAGGCCGCAGCCCCAGGCCTATTTTGAGTGCCAGCAGCAGCGAGGCACCCCTCAAGGAGGCAGTGCCCTGCAGCTCTCTTATCTTTTTGCAAAAGCAAATCCGTCTCTCCCTCAAGAAGCCAGCATAGGTGGAACCCAGTGGGTGCTTTGGATGTCCACGGTGTTTGGGACCTTAGGCATGAGCTGCGTGGCCCCTTCCCAAGCCCTAAGTCAAAACAGGGAGGTCAGGCCCTATGGGCATCTGGGCATTAGGGCTGTCCATTCAGAGCACCCCATCAGGGCTAAGGAGGTGCCCTGCTCCAGGCCCAGGGACATCTGCAGAGGTTGAGCTTGCTCCCTTCCACTGCACCCTTCTCAGGAGAAACAGCCGGGCCCAAGGACACCATGTCCGCCTGCCCAGGGCAGTCCACTCCCAGACTCGTGGTGAAACCAGGTTCCCAGACGTCTCCTGGGAGGGCCTTAGGATCCAGATATGTGGCAGGCTCACAGGCGGAGCGAGGGCTGGCCTGGCTGGGCGACGAGGGGTCAAAGGCCATTGTGAGGGGCCCCTTCCGGGTCTGTTTTCTCAGTTTTCAAATAGGGGAAGGCGAAGGCTTGTCTCCCTGAGGGACTGAGCACTCCTGGAAACATCTGTCCTCGTAACCCAGCACCTAGTTCAGCCGATTCAGGCCCCAAGTGAGGTTAGAAAACATCTGGCTGTCTGTGCCTGAGTGCTGGCGCTCGAGAAGGGACCACTATTCAGCTCAGTGGTTAGGCCACCTGCTTTCACTCCGGCTGAGGCGAAGGGGTCTCCATTCCCCTACCCCGCCCACAGCCAAGTTCCTGAGTAAGTGGCAACCCACGCTCAGTTTCCCAGAAATTTTATTTTCTTAAGAGGAGTTGCTTAGTATTAAGAGCTGATTGGCTGGGAAGGTCTGTGTCTTTATGAGCAGGGCATTGCAGGGTTTTATTTCCATGGATAATGAGTGAATTGTTTTTCTTCCTTTGAACCCACAGATTTGAACATCCCCATTTTAATGCTCAAGGCACCATATTAAATTACTCGTCAAGGTAAGGAATAAGAAAGTAAGGGAATCGCATCAGCCAAGATTAAAGAACTTTTCTGAAGGAAGGGGAGGAAGTGCAGCATGTGCCTGGCATGTCGGAGAGGCCCAGGGACACCTGGCCAGTGGTGAAGGGGCAGGTGCTCAGTCCAGGGGCCTGCACTTCACCGTCCCTGCAGTCTTGCTGGGTGAGGGCTGGAGCTAGGATGTGATCCCAGGGCTGTGTGGTTCCCATGCCTATGCTTCCCCATGCACGTGCTCATACACTCAGGCTGGGCCTTGTGCTGGATGCAGGGCCCCGAACCCAGCTCAGCGGCACATGCTGCACCCTCCTGGAGCTCCTGGTCTGGTGGCCACGGGCCGGGTGGGACTGGCTGTGCCCTGCTCCCTCCTGGGGCTCCCTGAATCCATGAGGCATCATCAAACTCGGGGTTCAAGGGCTTTTTAGAGGGCAGGCAAAAACTGCAGAGCCCACCATAACCCCATGGATCTGCACACTTGTGGGGGTGGGCAGACCAACAGCCAAGAGCTCACATCTCCAGGGTGCGTGCTGCAGGCAGGGCCCGCTCTAGCAGCTTACACGTGCTCAGTGATATAACGTTCATCATGGCATTACAAGGTAGGCATTATCTAATTTGCAGAGAAGGAAAGAGAGGCACAAAAAGGTCAAGAACCTGGCCAAGGCCACATGCCACACAGCAGCCCACTCTGACCCCAGAGGCTGCACTCTTAGCCACTGCCAACGGCCTCCAAGTTACAGAAACTGGGCAACAATACCAGGCCCCAATGTCATGTTTCTGTGTGAATATGTGCGTGCACGCCAGTGTACATGGGCACATATCCATATACAGGCCGCCACGAGCACATGCGGCGCAGCCCCGAGCCCCGCACAAAGGCAAGGCTGCTAAGAAGCTTCGGGGCCCTGCTCCTTCCCGGCCGGGGAAGTCTCCTGCACTGCTGTGCTGCTCTGGCCCCCACCCCAGCGTGGGGCCCTCTCTCCCCATGCAGTACCCAAGGGACATCACAATGGCTCACACCAGGACCCTCCCAGGAGAAGGTCAGGGCACAGGGAGGGAAGCCCCAAGGTGGCCCTGAGACTCCAGCTGCCTCTCTCTGGAGAGGAGGTGAAGGAGAACCTGCTGCAGATGAACTGATGATGGTCTAGCTCTCAGGACTGTCTGTCCTCAAGAATCTCAGAGGCAGAGGCCTTAGGGCCCCACTAGGAGAGAAGAGATGCAGGAGAAAATGTGGAGACAGAGGAAGACGAAGAACAGGCCAGAGGGCTGGCCCTGGCCCTGCATACATTACGACGATGACATCTCCCAGTCACAGGTAACATGCACCACAGATTTGGGACAGACACCCACAGTTTATTTTCTTGGAAACGGTACAGTGCATTCCAAAACTGCTCAATTCCAGGGCTCCTAAGGTTGTCCCAGCCTGACCCACACCTGCTCCTAAACCACTCTGACTTTCCTCCACTGCAGAAGCGCATAGCAGCTTGGGCACTCCTCCACTATAGGAGCGCACCACGGCGCGGGCATCCCTCCGCTGTGGAAGCCGCACCACGGCTTGGGCACTCCTCCACTACATAGAGCGCACCACGGCGCGGGCATCCTCCGCTGTGGAAGCCGCACCACGGCGCGGGCATCTGCTGTGGAAGCCGCACCACGGCGCGGCATCCCTCCGCTGTAAGCTCACGGCGCGGGTATCCCTCCTCTCAAGCCAGAAGCGCATCACGGGGCGCGGGCATCCCTCCGCCGTGGAAGCCGCACCAGTGAAAGATCCCACTGTGGTAGCCGCACCACGGCGCGCGGGCACCCCTCCGCTGTGGAAGCCGCACCACGGCGCGGCATCCCTCCGCTGTGGAAGTGTGTCAAACCACAGGCACTCCTCTGCTGTAGAAGCTGCACCATCACTGGCACCCAGTCATCTATCAGCCGGGAAGGGGCCCCCTGGTGCAGTGTTCACAGCCTCAGTCCACGACATGGCACCTCCTCTGGACAAGGGAGTCCTCAGTGCCCGGCTCTGCAGGTGATCAGGAGGATGAAAAGATAGAGGGGAAGGCTTTCAACCTTACTGATTCTACAGACCCTGTGGGAGTTAAAGAGTAACTCACTCTGCCCTCCAAGGGTTTACAAACCGGAGATGTGCCACGTTTCTCGTAGCCCCGGCGAGGGGCTCCTTCCTCTGTGCCCTACAGCCTTGCGAGATTCCTCTCCTGTGGAGCTTCAGGGACTCCATGCTAACTGTCCATTTCCACGTCTGTTTTCATAGTGGACTTGGAGATCCACATCCTCACCGCGGGTTGCAGACCTGGACGCACCCTGCTCTCTCCTTTCCAGGCTCTGTGCCCAGCTCTTCCTGGAATGTCCCTTCCCTTCTTCTGCCTGGTCAACTCCTCTCTTTCAGACCCAGCACAACCATACCCCTCAGGGGAGCCAACTGAGCACAGCCACATGGCTGCCCTGCCCTAGTGGTCTGCACAATGCTCTTTTGAGCCTGATCCAGCAACGCTGCAGTTGGCACTTGCATGTCTCTCTCCCTTGAGGCACTGTGAGCACCTTTCTGTGAAGCTCTCATGTCTCATGCAACTCCTGGGACCAAAAGTAGCTCCATAAACATGGACTAAATAATGTAATGAAAGCACACATGGCAAGTCCACATGAACGTAGCCATAAAGAAAAGGATGGTTTTCATCAAAAGCCGCCCTTCACCGGCAGTGCACCCACAACTCGTCTTCAGCATGAGGAAGAGAGTGGCTCCCTGATGATCTACCCTGGCACACCAGGAGGTAACTGATGCTGTCCCTCGGCACACAGCTGGCACACACAGCCAGTACCGTCTAACACGTGAGAGGACCGAGCCTCGGGAAGGACAAACAACTCGCTGGATTTGAGTGACAGGCAGGATGCTAGCCCCGGACTGGGATGTCGCTTAGCACCATGTGATGCTCACAGAGTGGAACTCCTCCCTGCCCACAGGGGCACCAGGCAGATGCAAGCCTGCTCCCAGATAATTCCGACCAGTCCTGTGGATTCTTCTGTGGCAACTGCTTGGTACCCGCATCCCTGCCCAGAGCCACCCTGCAGCTGCCTCCTCAATCCCTGTTACTCCATCGGCCACACCAGCCCTGCATGCTGTGACACTGCCAGCAGGAAAACACAGTCAGTGCCCTTTATGAGAATTCTTAGAGGTTTTGGGCAATTAATTTTGATTTAGGGCAAGCTTCTAGAAGGTCTCAGGCTGACTCAGGGCAGTCCCCTGCACTTTCTACCAGTCAAGTCCCTGCACCAACAAGACCCTCACCAAGCAGTGTGCAAAGTTGTTTCCCTCCCGAGGGCGGAAGCCCAGGAGTGGACCAATGCCAACCCCTGACGAGACCACTGGTCACTGTGCACACGACTGGGTGATCCTGGGGGATGCTGTCCTTTCCGGGAGGGGTCAGCTCTGCTGAGTCAGTTTGCCCCAAGCCCCCGCCCCACCATCGGCCTGGGCTCAGCCCCACTGCTGTGGGGCCCCAAGCATGCCACCCCTCCTAGGAAATGCCATCCCCTGCAGAGTGTGAGGGGACTGGACCCCGGGAACTAGAGTGCCTGCAGCAGAGGGAAGTGGGGCTGCCGCTTCTCTTTCCCTTGCAGCCACCACAGAACAGAGCAACTTCCTCTTCAGTAAAAAAGACATCAAATCTCCCTTCCTCTGCTCCTGACCAGACCCCTGCGAGCCATGCTGTGACTCACTCCAGTCAAAGGCAGGGGAGAGTGGAAATGTGTGTGCCGTGCTGGCAAGATGAGCTCAGTTTCAGTTTCTGGTTTCAGTGTTCAGCTGTCATCTCATGGCCAACATGGCTTATAGGCACATGAAGTCATGCTCAGAGCAGTGACCAATTCTCAGTGAAGAAAACGTTCCCACTGGCCCATTCTCAATCTCAGAGTCATCCAACCGGGTCCCAGAGTGGAAGGGGGAAGGGAAGACACGTCGGGACATGCCTGAGCTGTGGTGAGCACTACAGCCAAGTGCTGTGCACGTTCCCTTCAACCAGGTGGGGCCAGGACAGCTGCCACTCTCACTCAGGGAAAGAACCAGAAAGCGGAGGGCTCAACAATGTGTCCCGGGCTACTCAGGGACAGAACGGCCACCCCCGGAGCCGCTTTAACTCCAGAGACCAGGCTCTTTGCTGCAAAACGACATCTCCAGAGGAAAAGGACCTCCTCAAGAGCCCGTCTGCCAGACCGGCGACAATATGGAAGTGGAAAAGCATCCCTATTGACGAGGCGGTGGCACACAGGCATGCTCCCGCTCTGTGGTAATATTCTGCAGCAGGAAAGAGGAGAAAGAACATTGTCTATGAAATAATACGGAAAGTTTCCCAAGATATGCAGTAAGTGAAAAAAGCAAGATGCAAAATGTATACCTTTTGTGTAAAAAAAAATTGGGGTAAAAAGGGTGTGTTTCCATGTACTTATTATTTCAGAAATAAATTTTGTAAGTTTCTATAAGAAACAAACAAAAGTGGGCACTCTGGGAGGCGGGGAGGAAACAGGGCAGATGGGAAAGTCTATTTTTTAAAACAATTTTGAACCATGTGCACTTACTTAAAGTAATACAAAAATTAATATAACAAAAGTAAACAATAATGTGCCCTTGATAACACCATGAACAAAACTAAATGCTGACAGTTCGCTACAGGCCTGGGACGCTGGGACACAGCCGCGCTCGAGTGTGGCCTCACCCCGGTCAGAACTGAGAGGCTCTAGGGACGGAGGCAAGTCACTGACACATTTGGGCTCAAAACACACATATTTGTTTTTCTTTCTTTCTGTTTTCCCTCCTGATTCTCTTTGGAGTTTATTTTCACTTTCATGAAATTAAGACCTAGACTATGGCATATTACTCTCATTAAAAAGTCTCACACCAGGCTTTGGAGGCAGGCAGCAGCCCCGTGCCTGCAGAGCAGAGACCATGCCTAACAGGCCCGGTCAGGCTGAGAAGCTCTGCAGTGATTAGTCCGGGGAGCAAGTCCGCCTGTGAGTAATTACCAAGTTGCCAAATGGTGCTGGAGCTTTGGAAGCCATTCCAATAGCATATTTCTATATTAATTTGCTTTCGGACGTGAGCCATAAAATTATACAGCTGAGCTAATAAAGCTAATTACCTGCATGCATATCCGACTTCCTTTCAGCCCTGTAAGCCACCCAAACAGTCTTGCATCTCAGCCTGTGCACAAGAATGGCAAGGCTGGCTGATGGGTCAGTAGTGATTACAGCCACAGTTGTAATACTACAACATACAGTGGCAATGGTGGCAGTGATGGGGGTGGCTACTGTCTCTTAAATACATGGACCCTGGCATTTGGAGCAAGAGGTCAATCCATAATGATGAAGACAATAGTAGTTCCTATCATTATTGCCACCATAGAGAACATTTCCAAGGTGCTTGCTGTGAGGGATGCCCTGGGTATGTGTCCAACCCACATCTTCTCACTGCAATACTCACTACTTTCAAGCTAAGACTTCAGAATATGGTGGGTATGAGATAGGTACTGTTATTTTCATTTCAAAGATTTTTCTAGAAAACTGAGGCTCATAGAAAGAAAAAGAAAGCCAATGCCGCTAGCAAGTGACAGGGGCTAGGCTTGAACCCAGGCAGCCTGACCCCTGAGCCCACACTCTGCTCTCTGGCTTTCAGGGATTATTCGATATATTGTATTGATTCCTCACAGTAAACCTGGAAAGCCATGAGTCCCACTGGACAAAGATCCTGCTGTCCACAGGGCCAGGTTGTACCAGGGCCCCGCAGTTGGCCAGCAGTTGGGTCAGTGTCCACACTCAGCCTGGCCAGTGTTTTTCCAGCCCAGAGGGATGCCCAGCAGAGAGCTCTCCATGGTGCTGAAACAGCTGCCTCCCATCAAGGCTCTTCCTAGTCACTTGAGGATGAAGTTTCCAAATCGTCAACAGGTTTTTACCCCCACCTTCTGTCCCTGCCTTTCAGGAGACAGAGATGAAGACACTGGCAGCAGAACTGTGAAATCACTGCTGGGGCCAACCCAGGCTTCACTGAAGTCCCCTAACCCATGCCTACTGTTTAAGGACTGACATCCCTGTGTGCCTGAGCGCTAAGAAAACCCACGTCCCAGCCCAGCTCATGTTCTCATATCTGGAGCTGCCCACAGGCAGTTTCTAACGCCCTTGCAAAGAAATACAAATTCCTCTCACAGTGTCCTCCAAGCTTGCCACTTTCTGCCTCAGAGATGCGGCTGAGTTACTTGGAGTCCATTACAGTTTGCTCACATGTCCTGCTGGTCAAACACCTGTGAAGGCAGTGAGCCGTGAGGTCCAGGGGCTGGGGCTATCTCTGCTCAGTTTAACCTTTCTCTGCCATCCCTGCTCAAACCAGCAAGGTCAATGAGGAGGCAGCCCCACCTTCCCAACTGCTTAGCTTCTGGGCCTTCCCATGGGAAAATATTACTTCGAAGAACAGAAAACATGCAATCCAATCCACTAAAGAAAGAATTCAGAGGACTGCTTGTGGTTCCAAGCCCTGGGAGAGGAAGGGACAGTGCCCTGGTCACCGCCACACGATACAGGCTCCATAAATGCCTGCTGCTTTTCACTGAGCACCTGTGATGTGTCAGTTACCTACAGATCATCCCACTTAGTCCTCACAACAACTTCAGGTTTAGGAAGCCTCCTTGGGGATATAAGGTAATGCTCCCAAAGCCACACAGCCAGAAGGGGGTAGATTCAAACTCACCCCAGTGGGGACTCAAATTTGGGGTCTGTTGCTCCAAGAGCAGTGCCCCCTTCCCTGTCCAGACTCCTCTCACGAATCCATGTTTCCAGCACAACCAGCCTGAAGTCCACAGTGTGCCAGAGTGACAGGGTCAGGAGCTCACCTTCAAAGTAGCACTAAAGGCACAGAGACTTTTGGGTACTGTGGAATTTTAGAGGCACTTGTGTTGGCCCCTTGAAGAGCCCCTTGGACTCAGAAAGCCTTTTTCTCCTGTGGGGTCACATATGGAAGTTTTCTGGAGGAGGACATAAGGCAGTGGGAACACAGATGTGCTCTGCATTATTGGCTTAGGCCAATAACGATGTCTGCTCATCCCCTGCCAGTGAGATGGTGATGCGTAACTCTAGGAGTAAGTGGCCTGCGCAAGTGGGGCTCCTCCTAGAAGAGGGGCAAGGGGTGGTGACTTGCCCAGGAAGAGGAGCCCCAAATCTGGTAGGCAGGGAGCCCCAGCACAGCACTTGGTAGGCTGCCCCTTGGCCCTATGCCTCACTCCCACTGTAGCGCCAGCCACCCTGGGCTCCAGATACTTGTGGCCATGGCTGATTTCCCAAACTAGAAACTGGTGAGCATCCTGAGGATACGAGGGAAGTTTACTGTCTCCAAGTCCCTAATTCATTTCCACAGAGTTGGCAGGAAGTACAAGTCAACTGAATGAATGATTTTTTTTTCCAGGGATGATGCAGAAGGAACCTGATGGTTGCTTTCAGCTACCACCTATGCAAGGCCAGTTTATCAACGAATGTCCACCCACACAAGCTTGTGTCCGGGAACATTTACTGAGCACCTACTCTGTAGCTGGCATTGGAGGAAGCCATGCTTCCTCGGAGTAGTGGTCTTATGTGTGTGTTCAGCCCACAAAGATTACACAGCATGCTCAACTCAGAGCCACATTCGAGCCTCATGCCCACCACATGCAAGATGCAGAGGAGGTGGCTCTTCTGCAAAGGGGAAACTGAGGTTTACAAAAGTTGCATATGTCATACCCCGCTCTATCCAACAGTATGAGAACTCAATCCCTTCCGTAAGTTAAAAAATCTGGCTTGAAGAGAAAAAAACACACATTGAAAAAACAGAAACAGACCAGGTGCAGTGGCTCACGCCTGTAATCCCAGCACTTTGGGAGGCCGAGGTGGGTGGATCACCCGAGGTCAGGAGTTCAAGATGAGCCTGGCCAACATGGTGAAACCCTGTCTCCACTAAAAATACAAAAATTAGCCAGGCATGGTGGTGAGCGCCTGTCATCTCAGCTACTTGGGAGGCTGAGGCAGAACTGCTTGAACCCAGGAGGCAGAGACTGCAGTGAGCCAAGATCGCGCCATTGCACTCCAGCCTGGGCAACAAGAACAAAATTCCGTCTCAAAAAAAAAAAAAAAAAAAAAAAAATTAAAAAAACAGAAACAAACAAAAAAGGATATTTAGTTGACCCTTGAACAGCATGGGGTCAGGGGTGCCTACCGCCTACACAGTCAAAAATCCACATGTAATTTTTGACTCCACCAAAACTTAACTACTAATAGCCTACTGCTGACCCCAAGTCTTACAGATAACATAAACAGTCCATTAACACGTATTTTGCATGTTGTATGTATTACGTACTATATTCTTATAATAAAGTAAGCTAGAGAAAAGAAAACATTAAGAAAATCATGAGGAAGAGAGGACACATTTCCTATTCATGAAGTGAAAGTGGACCATAATAAAGGCCTTCATCCTTATCTTCACCTTGCGTAGGTGGAAGGGGAGGACGAGGAGGCACTGGTCTTGCTATCTCTGGGGTAGCAGAGGTGGAAGAAAAGCTATACTTAAGTGGACCCACATAGTTCACACCCGTGTTGTTCAATGGTCAACTGTGCCCTGAGCTATACTGGATACTTCCATAATTACCCACAAGAGAGAGGCCCCATCCTATCTTCCTTCTCTGCAAACTGCAGGGTTCAGAGAAGGGTCACTGCTCTGGTTTTCCACTGTAACCCTTTAGAGCAGAAATGAGTTTCACAAGTCAGGTAACCTACACACCAGCAAGAATCCTGTCCCTTGCTGGCTTCCTTCATTCCAACTCGACACCCTTTAAAGGCCTCACCAAGGGCTGAGGGCAGGAGGCCAGGAGAGAAAGCAGAAACAGACCTGTACTGCCCTATATGTACATTTGGAGACTCTTGTGCCTAATTTCCAAAGGCAGGGAGCACAACCCCACAGAACCAAACATGTTCTAGACACACAAGGCCAGGCCAGGAGCAGGTGGAAAGGAAGACTTCATTCCACCATTTGATCAGAGCCATCCGTCCTCCTTACGGTGAAGGTGATCCCGTTGCTCGCTGGGTCAAAACCCTTCACGGTGACCCACTGCTTTCAGGACAAAGTCCCAACACCCCAGCACAATCCACAAGCTCCCGCACAGCTTGCTTTTCCTGTTGCCCTTTCCCCTTTTAGACCCTGAGCCCGTGTGCGTCTGGGTCTTCGCTTCCAGAGATGCGGCTGTTTGCTGTCTTTGCTCGGCTTCCCCTCTACCTGGAGCACCCTTAGCCTTGTCGTTCTGGTGGACACCCCCATCTTCTAGAGCTCAAACATTGCCTTACCTGGGATGTCCCCACCCTGGAAACCAACCCTTCTGTCCTCCCTGGCTGTTGCCGCTGCACCCTGCAGAGCACCCGTCCTGTCCTTGCTGTGTTAGGTGCTGGGGATTCAGAGACCAAGGTGGGGGCCTCCCTATGTTTACGAAGCCCAGCCTCCTGGGCAAGTATTATATCCTATTTATTATCAGTAGTCAGTCTTCCTTATTTATCACATTATTTAATCAATATTTGTACAGAGCCTTTTTGTTTACAAACATTTTCACGCATGCCATCTCAATTAATCTCCATGTCTTGGGAACTATGAGTGTTCACTTCCGAATCTTTGAAAAACCCAGCCAGATGCAAAGCAAATGCACAAGGTTAGTAAAACACCTTCCCTGTCATTTTCTGCGAGGCCATTAGCAGTAAAATATTTGGTAATGTACCACAGTCAAAGACCATTTGAAACCATGGGGCAGCTTTGAGATCCTGTCTATATTTATATGACTGAAGTCTGCCATGACCTGGTTTGGCATTTTAGGAAAAAATGATTGCTCGGTTCACTCTGCTCCTGGGGAACGTGAAGCCAGATGGGAATCTGTGAGGTTCTCTTCAGAACCTGTAGACCTGAGGTGTGTGAGCCTGATCTCTCAAAAAAAAAAAAAAAAAAAAAGTAAGTGCTATGCTCAGAACATTTGGTGAGTATCCAAAGTCTACAGAGCAAAAGCTTGAGCTCTGTCATGGAGAATTTGGTGTGAAGGTTTTCACACTCGACTTGGGTTGAGCATCATGAAGTGGGTGCTCTGGGGTGGGGGTGCCTTCAGACGGATCATCTCTCCCTGCTGGAAAATAGGCTGTTTGCATCCCATGCACAAACTCAGGAGTGAACGACTACAGGTGCAGGGGCTCAGCCCAGCCCCACTTCAGATCAAATAAATTAGCGAATTGTCATAAACAGAAATTACACTAATGGAAAGACTGCTTTAAATGATTAATGAGCCTCTTTGCCATGACTTTGTTTTCTAATTTGCATCATGAACTTTCAGAATGCTGATGCTCTTGCTGCTCTCATTTCAGTAAGTGCCCCCAGCATCTCGGCTGAGCTCCCTGGTGTCAGAGACCCAACTGGACAGAAGACGTCACGCAGTGGGGTGTGCTGCCAAGAGGAGAGGTCTGCAATTGGCTCACTGCTGCAAATCTTGCTTGGGTGAGACTATTCCAGAGTCCCACAATGGAGAGCGGGTGAAATGGACAGAGTTCTGCATGGGGCGATGGGTACTAATCAGTGGTGAGACCCAGGAATGCTGCCATCTCCATAGGCTTCCTCTGGTAAGTGGGGATAATGCGAGGCCATGGCAGAAGCCAGAGGCTCTTGTGCTCTTCCTAGATGGAGCTGAGCACACAGCACTGAGGGCAGCAGTTGCTCGTGCCTCCCGCTCTGCCACGGACCAGCTGGGTGACCTACAACAAGCGAGGTGACCTCGCTGGGCCTCCCTGTTTTCTCATCTGTGCAACGTGGATAAAACTACTTCAGAGAGTTGTTGTGAAAGTCAAGGGAATAAATCTATATAAATTGCCCAGAACGGTACCTGGCATCTAGTAAGTGCCATATGGGTTTTAGCTGTTACTTAAGCTCTGTAATTTTATGATTCGATTACATAAGCTACGCATGCGCACAATAATCATCACGATAAAAATACAGTGTGTATATGTCCAATATGTACCTGATCACACAAACACAACGCACGTCGATCCATGTGCATGTTCACAAACACATGCATGCACACACACGAAGATGGAAACGGTGCCATGAATGCTGGGAAAGGCCCTTCCCCACTCTCATGATCCAGATCTGAAGTCTGTGTTGCCTATGTGTCAAACCCCGACTACTTTCGAAGTCATTCCAAGATGTGCAAGGGCACCAGATTTGGATTTGTGGGAGGCAGCAATCAAATCTGTGCCTTTCCCACCTTACCCCCCAGCCCATCGAAGTCCAAACAGCCAGGGTGACGTGACGGCCTTGTTGGCTGGCAAGGCAGGACGTCTCTCTGTGGCTGGCAGGGCTTCCCTGCTACGGGAGATTAAAGGCCTCAGAACCACGTTATTACAAACAGCTATAAAAGCCAAATTCCCTCAAGGCAGATACAAAATGCAACCCTGCATTTTACTTAAAATGATCAAGGAATCAGCTGTACTGATGGCAAGAGCCATTTATAGTAAAATTCATTTAGAGAAAACTATTTCTCCAAACATAACGATTAGAAAAACACAGTGTGCTATGTTTTTAAAGAATCTTGTTTAAAGACATTTAATTTTTTTCAGGAGATATGACAGAGCTCCATTAGGAAGCATATCTGAGAATAGGCCAGAAGCCACTGTGAGAGGCCGAAGGGTGGGCCCACACAGCCCAGGTCAAGTGCTTGAGTCCCGCCTCTGTCCTGAAAGGGAGGACAGGTCAGCTGAAGGCAACTCCTCCTTACTGGAAAGAAGGCAGTCTTAAAAATGGAGAACAAAGCCCAGTGTGACTGTATTCTAGGTGGGATCATCCAAACAGGGCCACTGTGCTTAAAAATCCTTACGCTGTCCTGCTTGTGAAGCCCAAATAAAACTGACAAATACTGACGCTCCTGTGGAGCCTCTTCATTTTGCAGAGGGTGACTGTTGTCTGTAAGACTCAACACCCCTCGGCAATGCACAGCCTGAGACCCAAGCTGTGCTTGGGCTCCCTGTGCCTGGGAAGTCAGCTGTTCGAGGACACGAGGCCCCCTGTACCGAGGTCATGGTTACACTGTTCACATCCCTCCATTCTCCAAGTCATATCTGTTCATTTGGCCTCTGCATTTCACAGATATTCCACTCCCATCCCCTACACTGGGTATCTAAAGCCGTTTGCCTTGGGCTTCTCCAGCCTGTGCCTCACTCTCAAAGCAGCCAAATTGGTTAAAAATGCTCCTCCAGACAGAATGGAGGAGGCGGATGCTTATCAGCTTGGTGGGAAGAGATTGCCCAGACAACCCAGGTCATTCGCCTTCATGGGGATCAAACTGTTGCACCCAATTCTTCCTACTCCAACTTACACAGCTGGATTCTGATACCTCAGCAAGCCTTGTACCAGTCCCTGAAATGCTCTCCAAAGGGTGATTTGCAACAAAAACAAGGATAATGAAAGGGTGAGTTGACCCTAGGCTTGCCCAAGGCATGCCCCTCCCCCTGCTTCCACCATAGACGGTCTGTGCAGGGCTGCCTCTGGAAAAGGAGCCAAGCTGTGCTGCAGACTCATCTTGTGAGTTGCAGCTCCTTTCACACATTCATCACGGCACTAGGCATAGCGCAACTGAGCTGGTAGCCATTCTGTTTGCTGTGTCATTGAAATGGAAACTATTCATTCAACAAATCATTTTAGGCTGGGCATGGTGGCTCATACCTATAATCCCAGGACTTTGGGAGGCCGAAGTGGGCAGATTACCCAAGGTCAGGAGTTTGAGACCAGCCTGACCAAAATGGTGAAACCCCATCTGTACTAAAAATACAAAAATGAGCCAGGCATGGTGGCAGGTGCTTGTAGTCCCAGCTACCCAGGAGGCGGAGGTTGCAGTGAACCAAGATCACACCATTGCACTCCAGCCTGGGTGACAAGTGTGAAACTCTATCTCAAAAAATAAAACAAAAAACAAACAGTTTTCATACCTATGTGCTAGCTACAGGTACCTGGGCAAGCAAAAGAGAATACACATTATCAGAGCATGGTCCACATCTGATTTTGAGCATCTGGTGTGCCCTGGTGTTCAGTCCAACCTCTGGCACATGGTAGCTCCTCAGTAACAGCTGTTGGATGAACAGGATTCCACCTGACCTCAAGACGGCACAATCTGGCAAGGGAGAAAACCTGCAGAAAAAACTCATTTTCCGTACTACTTAAAGACTGTAACTAACAATAAAGTAGTGGGTGTCACAGGAGCCCAAGGGAAGGGGCTGTTGCAGCCAGGGCGAGATGGGAGGGAGGCTGATGGCAGAGAAGGCTCTGAGGAGCAGACAGTGAGGTCCATTCTGAAGGATGAGTGAGGAGGACCTCACCTGAGGTCAGGTCGTAGCGTGGCATGAGGTCTCCCAGCAGGAAACGGGCAAGGGGGATTCACATTTGCTGATGCCTTCCAGGGCCAGGAGCTATGTCTGCACCTTGCAGGTGTGACCTCAGTTGAAGCAGTCAACGGGAAAATAACAAGTTTTGGGATCCCGACTATCCTTCTAGTTGCACAATCTCTGGTGAGTTACTGAACTTCTAAAATTTATTTATTTTTCTGAAAGGGGTAGATACTACCTGCTTTGCAGATTTGGGGTAAGGAAAATGCTTCTGCTCACCCATAGGTGATCAGAAAGGCCAATGATTCTTAGAACTCATCCTGACAGCAACGGTCTGCAGCAGGTTTTGTCACACCAGCTGCACAGTTGAGGACGTGGCCCTCAGGTCACATGGCCTCCCCTTCTGGATGCTGGAAGTGGCAGGGCCGTCCTACCCCAGAGTCAAATAGAGAAGATTTCTAGATCATGTGGTAAAGGCTATGATCTGCTATTAACAGAGTTCACAGAGAGTTGGCTATGCTAAGGTTCCCCAAGTTCCGTAAAATAGTCCAGTATTGGTAGCTGGAGGGTAAGAAGAAGGTTAAAAGAAGAGGGTTCCAAGGAGCTGAAAGGAAGGGTAGGTTTCATCCAAAAAAGCATTGCTGTATAGCAAATACGTCCGGCTCTCTGGGCCAGATGCTGCCTGTACCAGGAAGAGATGTCCCTGCCCTCCAGGGAAACCACACAGACATTACAAACAAGCATGCTTTTATCAAGCAGGAGAGGTCTGGGTTGAGGGGCTGGGGGGAAGGAGTCTCTTTAAAATCAGTAGGCTAATGTGGGCAAGAAAGCCTAGGAAATGTGGAAGAAAGGGCTTAAGAGATTTGTGAGCATGAGGAGTCCTTTGTGAAAACTTTGATCCTGGGATAGAATAAGGATAAATGCACGAAGACAGCAGAAGCCCTCCGACTTGGCGTATGCATGACAGGGAGGGACACAGGGAGAGTGCTTCCCCTGAGTGTACCACAGGAGCAGGGACTCGCCCTGTGCAGCTCTGGGGAAGCAGAAGCCCTTGCGGTCCCCACTTTGTGATGAGAACAGAGAAGCAGAGAGAGAAGCTGGCCATGACCAAGGTCACCTGGGGCAGGGACTGGTGGGAGAAAGGCAGGGACCTGCCTGTGTCTGATCAGGTTTCCCGGCCTCTCATGGGATACGCAGCCCCAGGCTTGGTGGCAGGTAGTGAGGGCAGCTTGCTATACAGTAGCTAACACACAGCAACCACACAAGAAGTGGTTTTCATAGTCATAACAACAAGAAGAATGATAAATAGGGTTTAAGAAAAGAGATTTCCTAAAGAAAAAAAGGGTATCCGGCTGGGCGCAGTGGCTCATGCTTGTAATCCCAGCACTTTGGGAGGCCGAGGTGGGCGGATCACGAGGTCAGGAGATTGAGACCATTCTGGCCAACATGGTGAAACCCTGTCTCTACTAAAATACAAAAAAATTAGTCAGGCGTGTTGGTGCGCAACTGTAGTCCCAGCTACTCGGGAGGTTGAGGCAGGGGAAACTCCTGAACCCAGGAGGCAGAGATCACAGTGAGCCGAGATTGTGCCACTGTATTCCAGCCTGGTGACAAAGTGAGACTCTGCCTCAAAAAAAAAAAAAAAAAAAAAGAGAGAGAAAAAAGGAAAAAGAAGAAAAGAAAAAAGGGTACCTAACCCATTAGCTCATCCGGTCCGGCCCAGCACCAGAATGTGAACGCCCCCCGAAGCAGGAAGGCTGACCATCCTGGGCCACCTCCCCCATAACAGGTTGCCCTGTCCACAGCAGGGACAGGACCTCGTGCCCGGCCAGTGCCTTGGGACACGATCCTAGGTGTCTTCATGGTAATTTCTCTGGCCCTGGGCTCCTTATGATAAACCTGCCTGGTCTCAGAGTGGGAGAAGGAGCTGGTCAGCAGGGCTGGGGGCTACTCAGAGGCCACCCACAGCCCTCCAGCACTCTAGGAGGAGTGCCTGGGGGTGCCCACTCACACACGGGGGCTGAAGGAAGGGACAAGAACAAGGAGACTACTAAGTTTAACCCTCTGTTTCGACAGAAATTAAGTAGGGAAGGACATGGGGGAGGGGCAGGAGGGAGAGATGGGGGAAGAGAGGATTGGGAAGGAGAGGGGAAGGGACAGGCGCTCAGAGGCCACCCCTGTCTGAACCCTGCAGATTCTCGGGGATGAGTGGTCGCCTTTGCACTTTCTTCCCACGCTGCTCCCTTGGTTCAAGCCCTCGTAGTCCCTCGACGCTTTTCTCCTGGGTGCTCCGTTCGCTCAGGCCCTCCCAGTTCCTGACTTAGAGCTGCTCATGCAGTGGCTCCTCAACCCACCAGCGTCCCCAGGGGCGCTTGCGTCTTTGCAACCCACTTGTCACACTGTGGCCAGCGTGGCTTTCTAAGACATCAATCTGGCCATGCTCATAGTCTGCCTTCTGGGTCCCATGCCGAGGACAGCATGCCACATGCCGCGCCCTGGGCCTGGGCCCTCTCCGGGAATGGGCTGAGATCTCCACCCACTCCTGCCGGCCTCGACCTGAGGGAAGCTCCCATCGGCCCCATAACACTGCACTGCAAGTACCCACCTCTGTACCGTCCCTCCCCTTCCACAGGGGCATCTCCACCTCTGTACCTTCCCTCCCCTTCCACGGGGGCATCTCCACCTCTGTGCAACTTCCCTCCCCTTCCGGCATCTCACCTCTGTACCTTCCCTCCCTTCCACGGGGCATCTCCACCTCTGTACCGTCCCTCCTTCACAGGGCATCTCCACCTCTGTGCCTTCCCTCCTTGCGGGGGGCATCTCCACCTCTGTGCCTTCCCTCCCCTTCCCACGGCATCTCCACCTCTGTGCCTTCCCTCCCAGCCTTCCAGAGACATCTCCACCTCTGTGCCTTCCCTCCACCCCAGAGGCATCCCCACCTCTGTGCCTTCCCTCCCCTTCCACCCACCTCTGTACCTTCCCTCCCCTTCCACGGGGGCATCTCCACCTCTGTATCTTCCCCTCCCCTTCGACGGGGGCATCTCCACCTCTGTATCTTCCCCTCCCCTTCGATGGGGGCATCTCCAGGGCTCACCTCCTACGCACAAGCAAATCTGTATCATATCTGTCATTAACAGGTGAAGAGTGGGGCGAGAGCTCCCGGCAGCCCCGGGCTGCCCATCGTGTCATTGTAGATGCTGCGTAGACAGGTGTACATCTACCCAGTGCAAGATCCCCAATTTCCTTTGAAACGCATCTACTCAGACCCATGCGCTATAGGTGGGCAATTGCTACAACTATGGATGGGTGTCAAATTAAGCCTCGATGTTCGCACAAAGTCGAAATGTTTAGAAAATATTATTAAAATGTATAATGAAATTATTAGCCAATTCAATCTTTGGTCTTTCCATCTGCTTGAATTCAGGTTTACAATAGCAAAATTCTGCTATTCCTCTGACGCCAGATGTCATTAACAGATGAGAGTGGGGGGGAGGGAGAGGGGAGGGAGAGGAGAGGGAGAGAAAGAGAGGGAGGGAGGGAGGGAGGGAGGAAGAGGGAGAGAGAGAGAGAGAGAATGTCCTTAATGTTAACTCTCTTTCACTAAATGTGCCTACAGGGACAATCAAGCTCTCAGAAACTTCCCATCAGAAAATGCATGGGGCAGGTGTGCTCAGCACATGGTAGACAATCAATAAATATGTGTCACATGAATTATTAAGCAAATATACAGAAAATAGAGAAGTCAAATGCAAAGACATTTTGTACTTTTTTGATACTGGTTTTCAAAGAACACAAGAGTTCTGTGGGCCACTATCATCCCATTTGAAGGCAGCATGTGCTGGGCGGGGACTGCAGGCTGCGGACAAGCTACGGGGTGCAGGAGCTGGCCACGCCACTTTCTCTTTGTAAAGTGGAGTCGCAGTTTTCATCTGCAAGACAGGAGGACGGGATGATGAAACCACCCCAGGAGTCAGGTTGCTGACAACGGCGACACGGCCCAGGGCAGCACCAGCCCAGGGTGGTGTCTGGGAGGCAGCAGCTCTGACACTAGCAGGATGCCCCTGTGTGCCCAGCACAATGAGACCCTGGGAGGGGAGGGGAGGGCTCAAACTCTGTGAAGTGTGGGGACACAGAGGTCAAAATCCCAACCATCCTAGGGCTCTGGCTTTTATCTGAGCACAGAGAGAGATCATTCAGGAGAATGAATAATCTCCTGCCAGGCACACGATGCACCTGCCCCTTCCTCCACTGGTGCTGCTGGCGCTGAGCTGGGGCTGCATCAGACCCATCCAGGACCGCTTTGCTCTGCACGGGGCTCCCGGCCAGAAGCTGAATCTCAGAGCCCGAGTGAGAGATGCCTCCTGCCTCACATAGAGCCTCTCCAACCCTCAGCCTATCAGAAAGACCCAACAGAAAGACAGAAAGATTACCAGAAACATGGGCCCATCAGAAAGACCCAAGACCCAGCATAGATGCCAGGAGGTAAGCGCCAGGGGTCCCTCCTTTCCCCAGCCTGACAGTGTGGGAGTTGTCTGTGGAGCCTTCTCGTTTGAAGTCTGAGACTTGAGGGGTGAGTACTTTGCCAGCAAACTTACCTGGGTTGGTCCCTGGCCCTACCCCTCATGGCTGAGACTCAATTTCCTCCATGGGAGCCACAGTGCTGGTCAGGGAGATGTGGAGGAGATAAATGGGGTGATGGGTGGGAACCAGTCTGACTTGCTTCCTTGCTATGGCATTTTGCTTGTTAAGAACTGGCTGAACCCTGACTTTGTGCTGAGCTCTGAGGGGAATGCAAGGGAAAGACAACTCCCATTATCCCCACCTTTTTACTTCTCTCTGTACCAGAGACAAACGCCTGTAACTCCACAACAGACTGCTCCTGTTCACTCCGTGAGTCCCCAAGCACTCTGTTTTTCGTGTCTGGTTCACAAAACCTTCCATCTATATGTAAAGTCCTTATTTTCTCACAAACTCTTTGGAGACAGTGGGTCTGCCAGGCCCAAAATCCCTTTAGCTTGAACAAAGGAATTGACCTCAGGTTCTGGAACCTGTGCTGTGTAGAGTGAGGACCCTTTCAGAATCCAGGAGGCCATCTGGAAGGATCCCAGATCACACAATGGAGCAATGTGTGTACCCCCATGTCTCCAGAATGTGTGCATGACTGAGGTCACTAACAGACGTTCCCATCAGAGCTGCCCCCTCCCTGGAGATGGGCTCTCATGCCTCAGTATTTTGAGGCTATTTCCTACCTTTGTCCCTGTAACAAACTTCTATCCACTTCCAGCAGCCACTCAACAGCTTCACTCTCTCTATGAAGCCTTCCTTGAATGCCCCCACTCAGTGGCTTCTGAACCTACAGCACTCGGCAGGGGGCTCTGTCCTTGCTCCCCAGCAGTGTTTAATTTCCAGAGGACACAGCCGCTTCCTATTAGACAAACAACTGCATGGAGACCTTGTCTTTGCATCTCAGCCTTTTAAATGCCTTGCAGAACGCCTGACTCAAAAGGAGGTGCTCTCCAAAGATGGCTGAACAAACAAATGAGGGAACCTGGGCTTCTCCAGAGCGCTGGGTCAGTCAGCGGAGTGTCTGCGAGGAGTCAGGCATTGATCTGAAGTCCAGACCAGGCTCCGTGACTTTGTGAAACACTGTGTTTATAGCACAAAATCCTTCTGAAAACTCTCTTCGCCTATTCAAAACGGCATCTTCATGCCTCGGTAAGCTGTACAATCCGATTTCAGTTTCTCAGACAATTGCGCTCGTGTTTTCAGCTGTCAGTCTGTGAACCCCCCGAGCCCGGCACTGATAGGTGGCCATTAGAACCTGTCACTAACATGAATATCAACACTGGCAAGAAGCATGTGATCCAAAGACTAGAGCACCACCGGCTCCGAGAAGACCTTTCCTCGTCCCCAATCAATACTGCTCTGAGTCGGCCTTTGAAGCGTTAAGAGGTTAAGGAAATGCCAAGCCTTTGGTCCACATCTCCTTGCCACAGCATTTCTGAGCTATCTGTGGTGAAAATTCAATAGCTAAGACCCTCACGGGTCTTTCTTAGAGGTCAGAACCCTGAGCAAAGGTGCCCCCAGGCCCAGGTGGCCCCTGGAAAAGGATATGATTCTCCAGCAGATGCCCAGCTTACTGTGGATCTCCAGGCCTCGGGCTTCCCGCCGCTCTTCCTCCAGCTGCTTGGGGTTTGCAAACTGCCCCTTCTCCCCAGGGGACTCCGGGAAACTCTCAAAGTTGAACTTGTCCACTTGAATAGCCATTCTACGAGAAAGCGGAAAACACAGCAGAGAATTCATCAGCAGGGCAATTTCTGTCGGTTGTTGGAGAATCAGCACATGCCAGCGTGAGACACTATAATGAATCATTATCGTTAGTAATTCATAATGGATTCATTCCAAGAAAATGAAATAATAGACTCCCAAGGTGGCCCTGACTTCAGAGCTGGTTCAACACACAATTTGGAGCTGAAGACACAGTCATTGCTTCAAACCTCTGGGAAGACCTGTGTTACCCCAGACAAAAATTTCAGTTCCATAACACAGCAAGGCAGGGAAGAACCAATGTGCCATAGACAGTGAGCTGGATGGCGACTTACAGTCCTGTGCAGACAGTCAAAGAGAACGCTGACAATTATTTAACCCTGGGGACCCATCGGCCCACTGGGAACTTCCTGTTTATCCTCTGCTGCCTGCCTCCTCCCCCCACCCTTTCCTTCTCAGGCAGGTGGGCGTGCCCCTCCCACAGCCCCCCTCAGCTCTCATTTAGAATGGCTGTATTTACTCAATGTCTGTACCCTCATTGTATCTAGGAAATAATTAGCTTGCTTTTGATTTTATAGGTTCACAGGCGGAAGGGACTTGCCTTGTATCAGATGAGACTTTAGACTGTGGACTTTTGAGTTAATGCTGAAATTAGTTAAGACTTTGGGGGACTGTTGGGAAGGCATGATTTGTTTTGAAATGTGAAGATATGAGATTTGGGAGGGCCAGGGGCAGAATGATATAGCTTGGCTGTGTTCCCACCCAAATCTCATCTTGAACTGTACTCCCATAATTCCCACGTGTTGTGGAAGGGACCTGGTGGGAGATAATTGAACCATGGGGCCAGTTTCCCCCATACTGTTCTCATGGTAGTGGATAAATCTCACAAAATCTGACGGTTTTATAAGGGGGAGTTTCCCACTGCCATCCATGTACAACGTGACTTGCTCCTCCTTGCCTTCCACCATGATTGTGAGGCTTCCCCAGCAATGTGGAACTGTAAATCCAATTAAACCTCTTTCTTTTCTAAATTGCCCAGTCTCGGGTACGTCTTCATCAGCAGTGTGAAAACAAACTAATACAATGACTGAGGGTTCATCAGTCAATGGATAAGAGTAGGCGTTTTGGTCCAGGCACAGTGGCTCACGCCTGTAATCCCAGCACTTTGGGAGGCCGAGGCAGGCAGAATCACTTGAGGTCAGGAGTTTGAGACCAGCCTGGCCAACATGCTGAAACCCTATCTCTATTAAAAATACAAAAACAAGCCAGGCGTGGTGATGCACACCTGTAGTCCCAGCTACTCAGGAGGCTGAGTCAGGAGAATCACCTGAACCAAGGAGGCGGAAGATGCAGTGAGCCGAGATTGTGCCACTGCACTCCAGCCTAAATGGCAGAGCGAGACCCCGTCTAAAAAAAAAAAAAAAAAAGTAGGCCTTTTTTATTATTGCACAGACTGTGCTGCGGCCAAAATATTCAGCAAAACCATGCTCTAATTGGCCTCTGTGGCTAGTCCCTTGAACAAGCAAGCAATAAGAGGACCTGCTGTTAAGGGGATATAAAGACAAGATTAAACCCAAAGAAGAAGTCTCGGTCTCCAGGACAGCTTGGGAAAGAACTACTGCAGTGTCAATAAATCTCTAGCATTTGGCCTGAGGCATCATGTGTGGGGCTGAGCTCCATAAGAGCTAGAGACGCTCCCCGTAAGCAGAGAATGGTGCTTTTGTTGCAAAACATGGTCTTTTAAAAAATCACTTTTACTATTATTTTCTGGTTATCTAAGTAGATAAATAGCTGGAAGACAGAAAAAGCTTAAAAAAGAAAATAAAAGCATTCAAATATTATACTCTAATGTTAATATCTTTATAGTCTTTTCCCTAAGTATTTGTATTTAACATAGTTTAAAATCACTACATATATATTTATAAATCATTATGTATCATATACACAAAGAAATACACCCACACACATAGTTTGACGTCTTGTTTTATTCCTTTAATATGCCATAAACATTTTCGCATCATTAAAAATTAGTCTGCGAAATATTCTATCTTAGGGTGTATCGTAGCCTACAGAATGGTTCTCCTACTTTTTGGACTCCCTGCTCTTTTTCATGTTTTAAAAAAAATGACTGCTATAGAAAAAGTCCTGACAAACATCTTTGTGCTGAGTGTTTCTGCCTGCACTTATGACTGACTCTCAGGATCTGTTTCCAGAAGTGGAGCCACTGATTGGAGGGTGTGAGGTGCTTCAGGCTCAGAGGAGTCTTCCAGAAGATCATCCCTGAGCAGCACGGACAGGCCTGTCTCCCTCTCTGCACCACTGCCAATACTGGCGATGATCAGTTTTTAATCTCTGCAGTAATAGGCAAAATGCCACCTCACTGATGTTTTAATGTGCAGGTCTGAATTCCCCCTCAGGTTGAACATTTTTTCAGAAGCTTACTAACCATGTCTCTTTCTTCCCTTGTGAGTAACCTACCCATGCAGCGAGAGCTTCTAATTTTCCACCCAGCAAAAAGCTCCTCTTACTTCCCCACCTCAGAGGCAGACTGAAGCAAACTAGTGCTCTCTTCAAACAAAAGGTCAGAATATTTCCTAAGTTTTGCTAAAAAGGCCAGCTTAAGTTCACTGCTTGATAATCCAAAAGGAACTAATAACTTTCACCTCTCAGTTGAGTTTCACAATAGTCCCCTGCACCAAGTCCTCTTCCTCTTGAACACAGAAGGGAGAAGCAGCCAGCAGGCAGCTCCCTGGGTCAGAGCACACACTGGATGCTGCGGCCACTGGAACTACATTTGTGTGATGATCTGGGGGCATCTTTCAAATAATTTCTGGTTGAGTAATCATCATACTCTATTACCCCTCTCCAACCTTAACAAAACTGTAGCCAACTCTGCCCATAAAACAGAAAAGGGAAGAAAACAAAATGTAAGGAGCACGTGCTATGTGCCAAGCCTGGCCCTGGGTGTTCTGTGTGCACGCTCATCTTTTTTAACTGACAGCCAGCCCAGGGAAGGCCGTGCTCTGCTTCATGTTACAGATGACAGGCTGCAGCTCTCAGTGTCCAAGCCATCTGGCCCGACACCACGGAGCTAGCAAGCCTCGCTCAGAGCCTGTGTCACAGACTCCGTCCTCTGTGTTTTGTCTTGAGTTTTACTCGGCTCTGCTTTGCTTAGGCAGGACACCTAATGAGAGATCATTTCTTGCTTATGCTGTTTGCAGAGCAGCATGGGACAGAGACCCTGGAACTGCAGACCCTGCCCCCAACAGGCCTCTGCTGCTTGTGTTAACGGCCAACCGCTTCCCACATTTATAATCACCCTTTCCTCTGCAGCCCTGGGATGGGCGACAAAGGCAGCATTCCTTTTCCTGCAGTGACAAAACTGGCCTACCAAGAAATTGAGTGACTCACCTAAGGTCAACCAGCTTCAAGTCCTATTGCCAGAATTCCGAGAGCCAAGGATGAATTCCCCAAACCACAGAGGAGCTCTACCTAACACCTCTATCCACCTCTAATACTTCTATCCACCTCTAATACTTCTATCCACGTGGTCCCAGGCACAGCCCCTAAACCTGAGCCCCCTTCTCCTGGCTCCTCCCCACCAGGAAGTGATGGCAGCCCTGTGACTGTTAACCTGGCAAACTGCAAGAGGTTTTCCCATGGAGGAGTCCTCACACCTGAGGTCACCTCTGCTGGAAGACACTGTTGCGTTGAGTGCAGCAGCTGCAAGGCCTGCATCATAGAAGGTGAGAGCCCCTGGCTGGCTGCCCTGGTAGGTGACCTTGCTCTAAATTCAGTGGCAGCACTGCCAGAACTTTGAATGAGAGCCAAGGCCATTAGGTTTGAGGCTTGTCGCTCCTGTGCAGAGTGGAGCTCCCGATGGTGGTGGGTGGCTGAAGAGAGGTGGACAGGGTGTCTGCCCCACAGGGAGTGCCAGAGGGCATGTGGGGTGGTGGCACTTGGCTGAGAGGTTCACAGGGAGACGACCTGCAGGCAGGGACACCTGGGTGTTGGAAGGTAAGGAAGAAACCCAGGGCCACCAAGGGGCCCGAAGTTGAGACCACCTATTGCAGTCATCTTCCAGAGGGGAAGGGCGGAAGGTGCTGAGGTGTGGCTGGCAGTGGCCTGTCCATTATGGTGGGCATCGGGTGGCAGCACAGTAGGAGATGGTGGCAGGCTTCAGAGACCACCACCTGGGCTGGATGCCCAGCTCGGCTTGGAGGTGACTTTGGGGTGAGGCCTGGCACTTCCCTGAGCATCTCTGTGGAATGCAGTCAGCACTACCTGCACCTAACATGGGAGGGTTTGCAAGTTCTTAGCACCAGCAGCAGGGTCTACTATCACCAGCCCACATTCCATGACCAGCTGAGTGCCTTGATGGCTCCGTAACGACTTTCTCAATGAGCAAGTTGCTTTTCATAACAACAACAAAGCAAGGACACCGTGATGCCACATTCATGCCACCGTCCTCACCACTTGGCCCCCGCGGCCTCAGAAGCCTGCCCACCTGCAGGTGTGGTTTGCATGCGGTGGCACATCCCTCCTCGCCCTGGGTTTAAGCTTAAACACACAGGTGAGGTCTTATGTTGGGGTGAGTGACACATCAGAGAACATTCATTTTCTGATGGAATATTCAATTCCCCATCAGAATGTATCCAAAAAGTGATTCGGAACCATGGCTGATGCTCTGACAAGTCACAGCAAAGTGGAGGGAAATCATTATCTTTGGAAACTGCATGGAAAAGGTGAGTGAGGAAACCTGCGCAGAACTAACGGGGAAGTCACCTGCCTCGTCTGCAGCGGGTGTTGGCAGGAATGGCCTTTTGGGCGGGCTCCCAGAGGGTGGCGGTGCCAGGCTTGGCCCAGGGGTCTGCCCAGTATGGTAACAGCCTTTGAGTGATGCCTTTTTGCTAGAGTGGGTTCTAATGTTGTTTTTTGTTTGTTTGTTTGTTTGTTTTTTTGAGACAGAGTCTTGCTTTGTTGGCCAGGCTGGAGTGCAAT